CTTTCCACTTTACTTTGGTTATGGTCTGCCCAAGTATTTGACTCCACATCTACTTCTTGTATATTCTCTTGCAGTTCTGGTGACATCCATGTCATGTCAATTCTCGACCATGATTTATGCATATTTGAATAGAAAGTATATTTTTTCTCTGGTTGTAATTCCCTCCAAGCATCTTTAATTCCTAATTCCTCCCTCATTTTAAAAAAAGTCTTTGGTAATGTCCTCCTTGCCTTTTGATTTGTTTTGCTACTTTTATAGTCTAATTTTGCATCAACAATTGCATTAAAGTCTCCCACAATATAAACGTTATCGTATTCTATTTCTGTAATTTTCTTGTGTAGTTGATCATTTTTTAAATTTTTTTTATTTTTTTATTTTTTTTAATTTGATTTATATGCCGCCCTGTTGTGGCCCCGCCCTCTGAGCCTGTCCCATTGGAGGAAGAAAGCTCCGAGCATGAGGAAGAGGAGTCAGCCAGGCCTCCCTCTCCAGGCCCCTCCCCTCTGGCACTGTCTCAGGTGCCGGTCGAGGGAGAGGAGATTAGCAGGGAGACAGGTGGCTTGGATCAGAGTGACGGAGAAACATCATTCCTGGACGCACGCCTCCGAAGGCGTGATAAACGATTGCAGCAGCTCAGGGGGCGTGCTAGGGATTAGAACTGAGTCACTGGACCACACCCCAGAGACTATATAATAGAGGGTGGTGGTCAGTGATCCTTGTGACGAACAAAACTAACCTTGGATAGTCACTAAAGCCTCGTTCGGAACTGCGGAGAGAAAGATTTATTGTTGCCGGACATTTGGAAGCTGAGTATTTGTCTTTCTGTTTTTCTGTGAAAATAAAGGCACTTGGCAGACGGTGTGTCTATCGCTGCCAAGTTGGAGATAAAGAAACTGGGTGCGTTCCAAAGTGTTTCCTTAACCCTCGGCTGGCTGTGTTTGTGTGTGTGTGTGGACGGGGACAGATCACCGCCCTTCTCCGGAGACTCAGGGTGGCTTACAATGCGTTAAGCAATAAAACACTTCTTGATTAGTATTTGGTGCATATATTACTATTAATAATGTCCGTTTATAATTGATCATTACTTCCACTATCAAAATTCTTCCTTCATCTTTATAAATTTGTTTTGATTCTATGGATTCTTTGATATAGAGGGCCACCCCTCTTTTTTTCTGCTGTGCCAGTGAGACATATTCCCCATTTTAGAGTTTTCCAATAGTTTATAGTGGTCCTTTTTAATATGTACTTCCTGGAGACAGATCAGATCTAAGTTCATTTTTTTTAGTTTATTGAAAAAGATTTTCCTTTTCATTGCCGAATTCAATCCATTAACATTGACTGACATTAAAGTAGTTTCTTCTCCCATCTTTTTTACTTGTAGATCGGTCTAGCAGTTCTAACGGTTCTTATTTCTCTTTTCTTTTACTCTAGCTTCTTCCTGTTCTGCTCTTTCTCTTTGCTCCCTTTCATTCCCTTTTAGCTGTAATGGTTCCTCTTGAACCAATACTTCTTGGCTCTTATCACCTATTTTCTCTCTTTTCTCCTTCTCTTCCTCCATTCCAAAATGTTGTTCATTAAATTCAATTGCTGTGAGACTATCGCCTTGAGAAAATAGACTATCTATTGAGTCTAATCTATATCTTTCTTCATGCCAAGTCACCAATAGACCTTCAGGTATCAGCCACCTAAAATGTATGTCATATTTAATCAATTTTCTTGCCAGAAATTAGTATTCTCTTCTTATGACTCATTATAGAATCATTATTTCTTTTTCTTTGTACATCATTGGCTTTCCTCTAGCTTTCTGAAGTATTTCCATTCTAGTCATTGTTTTCAGGACCTGAATGTGTACTTCTCTGGGGAGTCTATTCCTCCTTACATAGCCTGTATGGACTTGATAGGCTTCATCCATCTCTGATAATAAATAATAATAATAATAATAATAATAATAATAATAATAATAATAATAATAATAATTTTATTTCTATACCGCCCTTCTCCTGAAGGACTCAGGGCGGTGTACAGCCTATTTAAAAACACAAGACAAACATCAATTTAAAATTTAAAATTATTAAATAAATTTGGCTCCATTTAAAACCCCAGAAATTTAAAATACCCCAATTTAAAATTATTATGTCGATAACCCGGCCTGGCGGAACAACAGGGTCTTCAGTGCACAGTGAAATACCCGGAGGTCGGGGATCTTACGTATTTCCGGGGGCAGTTCATTCCACAGGGCTGGGGCTCCCACAGAGAAGGCTCTCCCCCTGGATGTCGCCAGCCGATATAACTTGGCCGATGGCACCCTGAGGAGACCCTCTCTGTGGGAGCGAACTGGCTGGTGGGAAGCTATTGGTGGCAGAAGTCGGTCTCGAAGGTACCCGGGTCCTATGCCATGGAGCGCTTTAAAGATAATGCCTCCTGCTTTGCTCACTTCCAAGACTTCAGCCAACAACTCTGCCATCTTATCCCGAGAGATCTTCCCCTTTCTCTTCTTCTATATTTTGAAATCTTAGAAAGAATTCAGCTTTTTCCATCTCCAGGGATATTATCGAGGGCCCCAGTGTCTTGTCCACCTGAGTTAATCTCTGGTCCATTTCCACCACCTTTTTCTCAGTTTGTTCTGATTTTTTCTCTACTTTTTAAATTCTTTCTTCATTCTTTATCATTATTTGTTGGATGTTTTCCACTTTATCGTCCATTTTTTGTATTCTTTCATGTAGTTTGGTCATTGACTCCTGTATTGATTGGAACATTGCTTTTGTTTCCACCTGCATTGCGTTTCTTTCCTGCACCAGAAAATTATCCAAGGCTTGCCAGACTTGGGGCAGCAGATGCTGCTGCTGAGGGATTCGAAGTAGTTTTCTTCATCTTTCAATATTAACATATAGAATAGATAATAGTTTCACAACACACTCCCAAGTATTCCACTATTCCTTCCCAGTTGTCACCCAACTGCAGTAAGCTTTTTGTAACACTCTCACTACCAAATTCCTCTATCCATCTTATTACCACTTCTGCCCAAATAGTCCATAATATATCAGTTCAAGAGTACCTTTTAGTATAGTTTTTCACCCTTCTTCTCTACTTTTTTCCACAATATTGTGTAGAAATTATATAGAAATAGAATATAAATATGAATACTATGTTTCCTAAAGTCCACAGGGTCCAAAATATGTCTTTCACAAATGTTGTAAGGCAAACCAAAATACCTCTCACAAGTCGTCTTTGATTCTTCTTCTCTTCTTCTTTGGTGAATAGGCTATCAAAGTTTATTTGTAATCCACTTAGGCCCACATATGACCCAACAATCTTTCACAGAGTGTCCCATGAGTTCTTATATAACTATTTTAATTTCTTTTTTTCTTCTCCTTTTGTAATATCAAAAATTAATTATATTCCATCAATGTAATTTATAATCCAACCCAATTTAGCAAGTCTTTATAGGTTCCCAACTTCTAAGTTTTAAAAGTCTTAAAGGAAAGCAGGAAAAAACAAAAGCGGGGGAGTCCAAAGATGTTCTATTTAAAATGTTTCCAGTTCCAGCCTGCTTACATTTATTATCTGATTTTGCACGGTCATAGCTCTTCCACTCTCTGCTCCAGCCTTCCAGACTAAACAAGTTGCAGGTGTCAGAAGATTGTTGTTTCATTTACTGTAATCATTTGCTGTACTCCATAACTCAAGGTTATGTCTATTCAGAAGTCCTTTATCTCTTTAAACACTTTCTCTGCCAGCCGGTACCAGTAGATGGAGCATTTATTCTATTTCCTCTATTTTAGTCCCGTCACTTCTTGATTTAAATTTAAAGCTTAAAGCATTTCTTTTTTACAATCAAAAGTTTCCCGATTTTAATAAAAAGGGGACTACAGAGCTTCACCCCAAATAAAACCTTAGTCTCTTGTTTCTATCTCTCCCACATTTTCTTGTAGCAAAATAGTAAACTTTTCTATGTCTTCTTTATTAATGACTAAAAGCCTCTTCGCCACAAAGTCCAGAGGTGGAAAGTTTAAAATCCCACCTCCTATCCTTTAGTCTCACTCTCAACTAAATCCAAATTGAGGGAGAGCCAAGTCTTTTCTTTTGAAGCAGAAGTCAGGAAAATCTCACCTAGAACAAACACACTGCTCGATGATCTTCTTTTAACTATCTTTTAACTAACTTCTTTTAACTATCCGGTCTGGCTGCCAGGGCTTCTAATAGCTTGCAATGGCCGTCTATCACTCCTTGCCGGTCTTTCTCTACTGCCACAGGGATTTGCAGACTCCCTGTGGTTTGCAGTGTGTCCTCTCTTCTTCACCAATCCCTACAGGGTTAGCTAGGAACTCTATGGACCCCTGGCAGGGGGATTTCAACGTTTTCCAGAGCCCTGTGGAGTTCTGTCATATCGCCTTGGCACTAGCCACACCTTCTCCTCTGATTAATTAATTAATTAAAAAATTAATTGTTTTAAAGGAAGATTCGGGTTAATGTCAGGGTTCCAAGTAATACCCCCAACAAAATCAAAACTCTGAGGCAGACATATTCCTCAAAGTACAGATTTATTAGGCATTTCATATTGGCACATCTAGGGAAACCCAAATCTAAAGTCCCTCGGGTTTCCCCCTAGTAAAAAATACATTTTTTCCTCCTCCTACCCCTTCAGACCATCACATGGCCCAATCAGGTCACAGTCCAAAGTTCATCTGGACTCATGTCCTGCCTCTTCACACCTGGTAGGAACGTCCTTGGTTCTCAGGGGAAATAATTTTATTTTGGTTACAAAGCCCTCACTATCTCTGTAGCAAGGGCTTTGTACCTCCCCCTCCCGTTTCCACAGCTCACCCAGCCACCGCTGTGGCAGCCCTGAAGACACCAAGGAAAATGGCTGACACTATGCCTACCTGTGGTCATATGTGTTTAAGATAATTTTTCATAAATGTCTAGATTGAAATGGTGTTTTGACAGATAATTAATGAACAGGAAATAGTTGTGTGATGAGAATCCTGTATTTCTTTCAGTGTGACCCAGCCCTCTTGCCAGAGCCAAACCATGTGATGCTAAACCACCTCTATGCACTCTCCATTAAGGTAATCTAATGTTTTCTGTTCTTATCATACTCTACCACATCTTGCTGTATTTGCACACTTCTCTCTCTCTACATAAGAATGGAAGAAATTGACTTCTTGTACAATTCAACATTTCAGATTTCCAAGTAGGATGGAAATGCTTGTAGAGAAACTAAAATGTAAAATTCCAGTAATACCTAGGCTTTTAGCTTCTCTCCCTCTTGTGGGTTGTTTTGCATTGGTGCCATGGATACAGCATGATTGTTTCCTCTCAGGTTTCCTAGAAGGAGGCATCTTGTATATATTATTCTCCACTCCCTTTATTTTAAAAATTTGGGAGTTAGAAAATGAAATCACACATATGAAATACTTCCCAGTATGCATGTGTCTGTTTCCTCTATAATAATTACTCTTGGGTGTCACTCTTCTTTAGCTACTGTCTTGTGTTTTCTCCCATAGGATGGCGTCATGGTGCTTAGTGCCACCCATCGCTACAAGAAGAAATATGTCACCACTCTTCTTTACAAGCCTATTGGAGTCTGATTTCTGCATATTTCCATAGAGACTCAAGGACTCTTGCTTTTTCTGCATATGATAAAATACCAATGGGCATGGGTAGTCAGCTTCCAGATTATTTTATCAGACACAAAGGTTTGGATAACTCAGCTCTTATTCTGATTTTTCAGCACAATGAAGTTCTTCATTCCCATATGGCTATTCAGAACAAACAACTTGATAAAGCTACTGAAATCAAGTTTTGGGTGCATTATTAATATATCTCATATATTGCAAACTGTGAGACTGGCTTCTTTCTGAAACAAGACTTGCCTTGCAATCTTCCCTTCCACATTCAAAAAGAAAGAAAGTCCAGTGCCACCCTGTTTTCAAATCATATGACCATTGTATACAAGTCATGATGGCTGTATGAGGCCTCCAAGTACAGAGACCATGTGTCTTTAAATGTGGAACAGCTCTTGTTCTCAAGTATTGAAAGTCTCTTCTAGTAGGAAATGAGATGACAATTAGACAAAATTTGACCTAGTAAAGTAGAATTGCTGTTATGTTTTCAGTATCTACTGTTGTAAAGCCTTTCTCATGTTTGCCATTTGTGGGTGCTAATTAAGTATGACCAGACCTAGTCCTGGACTGCTTGGGTAGCCATTCAGTAGCGGCTTTTCCACTATTGGGTACACCAGTGAAAAGACAATTCAATTGTCTCTTCTGAATAAATAGAAAAAAATTAAGATTTTTCATCTTTACTAAGTCACATCTCAAGGCTTCTTATAGAGCAAGCAAATGGGATCAAGTCCTTAACAAACATGACTTTCACTCATCCAAATAGAGTTACTGTCAAAAATGTTCAAAGTTCTTCATTTAAAACAACTTAGAAATAAGATACCATCACTGATGGTTTTAAAAGTGGCTTCCCACATGGTTTCCCTCTGCTAGAATAGGTTATCTCTCAAGGCCTCCAAGCTAATTTCAGCTTAAAGGCTTAAAACTTACCTTAAAGGCTCTTGACTTGGATCTCAAGAGAATGGCAATGGTTTTCAATCATACGGAATACTTCTTTTTTTAGGAGGCAGTATAGGCCTGTTTGTACTGAGAATAAAAAAAAAAACTGATGCCATTCATGAGCCAGTTTCCTGTCTGTAAATCCCAGACAGGATTCTTTTAAATGCTGGTGGAAATAATAATCAAAGAAAGAAATGAATTGGGATAAACACCTCTTATTGTCAGGCCAAGACTACACTTGCCAAGAATATTTTGAAGTCATAGTAATTTGAAGCAAGGTAGCTACACTAATAAAAACAATGTAATAACATAATAAATCATTGGAATATCTATAAGAAATACCATTTGCCTGCAAGCAAATATTGCGGGGGCCGCAAAATAGACAAAATAATAGAAAATTAAGACGCTAAAGTGTTCTGGGACTTTAGAATTCAGACAAACACCTGCCATATAACACACTAGGCTTAATAGTTGTTGATAAGAAACACAAAAAAAGTCTGGATAAGAGAGGGGTGTGGCCAGTGCCAACGGCGGTCCAGCAAATTCTGGGGTTCCTGGAAAATGCTGATATCTCAGCTGTTTTAGGGGATCTCCAGGGATCATAGCTGTCCTATAGGGACAGTGAAGAACGGAGACACAGGCAGGCACGAACAGGGAAGTCGCAAGTTCCCTGAACTGTCTGCATCAGCCTCCAACCCAGCAGCAAGGGAAGACAGTCATTAGGAGCTGTCAAAAGCGGGGCAGCCACACACAAGAAGATAAGGGGAAAAGAACGAGTTGATCATCTGGACTATTTTGGATTGCAGAGGAAATTAAAGAGATATATTGGACAAAGGAAAATATGAGAAGGGAGTGACCTTGGGATGTTTGGAAACTGGTAAGAAGACTTTGATAAGAAGTGGTCTTGTGACTTTGTAACAGTAGGGGGAAGATATAGAAGAAGAAAAGAAGAAAGAAAGCTATTTGTTTTTTCCTTTTGCTTGATGGAATTATAAATTCTGTAAGATTTTGGAATAGTGGTATTTTGGAATATTATTTTTGCTTTCTGGTTTTTCTCTTTTTGTGCCTTTTTCTTTTTCCTTGTAGAAATTCCCTCTTCCTGGACTTAAAAGAGTTCATTGGCAGAGTTTTTGTTTTTTCTATTTTTTTTGGGGGGGGATTTTTTTTTTCTCACCTTTTTATTGCCTGGTTGGATATTTTGGGCAAACTCCTGGGTTTTGGACTAGTGAATTTTTTATTTTTGCGCTGATCTAGTTTTATCTTTTCTTTTCTCTCTCTTTCTTTCCTTTTTTTTTTCTTTCTCTTTCTAATTTTTTCCTCTCTATTTTTGCCCTTTTGGGCTGTTTGATTGTTCTTGGCTTTCTGTATGGTTTATGGATCAAATCTATGTGGATTAGGGTATCAAGAACCTGAAAAGTCTGATTGGGCATTTTGAATTTAAAGAAATTGAGTATTTGAATTATAAAATTGGGTAGTAAGATTTGGAAAAAAAAATAAGATGAAGAAAAAAACAACATCTATCATCACCATCAATAACGCCTAGTACTACAGGGAAAAAGACAACAGAAATTGCATCACAGCAAAAGAAAGTCAACACAGAATTAAAAAATATGCTACAGACTATATATAAAGATCTTAAGACAAGATTAGACAAGGTAGATGAGAGAATGGAAAAAATGGAAGGAAATATAGAAAAAATGAAAGGAGAATTGAAAGAAGTTAAAGAAATGATAGGGAAAAATGAACGATGATTGTAGCAAATGGAAGAAAAAGCAGAAGCAACAGAGAAAAAAGTTGAAGAGATGGACTATAGACTTACAATTACTGATAAAAATCAGGAAAAAACAATTATAACCCTGGAGATGAATAACGCTGATTTTTATTTAAGAAGGAAATTGAAGAAGAAAAGGGAGAAAATTTAGCAGAGAAAATTGCAGAGATACTAGCAGAAGCAATGGAAGAAAGTAAAGAAGGGATATTAAGTGGAATCGACGAGATATACAGAGTGCACACAAGATATTCGATGAGACATAATCTACCTAGAGAAATTCATGTCAGATTCACCAAGAAAACACTGAGAACAGAGATATTGCAATTGATGAGAAACACGACGAAAAAGCACAAATGGAGAGAAGTAGTGGCACTGAAACAAATTCCAAGAAGAGTGAGAGATCTGAGAAAAGAATATCAATTTCTCATGAAATGTTTGATAAAGAGAGGAATAAATTTTAGATGGTTGATTCCAGAAGGAATATTGGTGAACTGGCAAGAACAAAGATACAGATCAGACTCAGTAGAGAAAGCAGAGTTATTTTATAAACAATACATAAATGTCCAAGAGGAAGGAAGGTTGAGGGAAGAAAAAGGGGATGAACAACAGGAGGAGAAGAAGAAAGAACAATCAAGAGAGACAACGAAAGAACAAGAAGAGAGAGCGTTAAGAGAAGGAGTGAGGGCCAAAGAAGTTAAGGAATTAAGGGAGATAAGATCGACAAAACAAATAAATAAATAAGAAATGAACATTATATGGAAGTACCAATGTGACTTTCAACAACAGAAGCGTTGACACACCCAAATATGATTAACATGGATAAGACTGTAAGATATAAAGACATTTTAACAGAGAAGGGAGAATTAAAACAGAAACAAGACTTAAAAAAAACAAGGGATTGAGATTGACTGGTATACACGGCTGAGATACAATCAAGACATGATAAAAATTTGAAACAATATGGTTTTAATTTGGGGGAATCAGAGTTGGATCAGATAATGACTGGAAAGGATGAAAAAATGATTAAAAGACTATAAGTATTTGTTGCAAATTAGCTTGGAAGATGAAGAGATAAAAGAGACAATGATAACATGGGCAATTTTGGATATGCAATAGAATTAGAGAAATGGCAACAACTATGAGAAAGGAATTATAAATTGACAATGGTAACTGCATACAAAGAAAATCTATATAAAATGTTTTATAGGTGGCATATGCCACCAGAAAGATTAGCAAAGATGTTTAAGAATAAATCAGCCAAATGATGGAAATGTTTGCATTTGCCGGGATCATACTATCATATGTGGTGGTCATGTTTAGAAGCAAAAAATTATTGGTCTAGAATACAGAAATGGTTGGAAGAAATATTACATAAATCTATACAATTAAAACCAGAGTTTTTTTATTGGGTATTCTCCCTGAGAGATATAGTAAAGAAGATGTCTATTTAACTATACATATAATAACAGCAGCAAGAATTGTATTTGCACAAAATTGGAAGACAGAAAAAATTCCATCAGAAGGTGAAGTAATAAAAAAGATTTTAGACTGTGTCTAAAAATGAATAGAGTAATTCTAAGAATAAGAGATAAAGGGGAATCAGTGTATTTCAAGACATGGGGAAGATTTTATATATGGTTAGAAAAGAAATATGAAGATAAGAGGGTCGATAAATGATTTAGATAATAGAAAGTCAAACGAGGGAGAGGATAAAAAAGAAATAGAAACCCATATGACACCAGAGTAAATGAAAAAGGGGGATGGGAGGGGGGAAAGAAAGATAATAAGAATAAATGTACAATTATGATGATAATACTGATAGATAGAATAAATCTGAAAAGAAATTGAAAGAAAGTATATACTATTAGAATATAGGAGTTGCTCGGATACCAAACAAGGAGAATATTTCACAGCAAAGAAGATAGAAAGGAGTGAGGAGTAGAGGGTAGGAAGAGGCGAGGGAAAGGAGGGAGAGGAATGGAAGAAAGGGAAAAGGAGAGGAAGGAAGGGGACAGGAGTAGGGAGAAGGTGAGAAGGGGGGAAAGAAGAGAGGAGGGGGGGAAAGGAAGGGGAAGTAGGAGAGGAGAAAGGAGGAGAGGAGGGAGGGAAGGGAAAGAGAAGAAGAAGGTTTGTTGCAAAATGATGGAAGAAAGGGTAGAAGAGCAACTCCGAATGTAATTAAAATACCTTATTTTAATGCTTTCTTTAAGGAAAACGTATATGTATGATTAATTATAAGAAAATGTACATTTTATATTATGTGTATAAGAAATAAAACTGAAAAACTTTTTTTTTAAAAAAGTCTGGATAGTGAACATTGCAATACCTAAAGACAGCAGAATAGAAGAAGAAGAATTGGAGAAAATCACAAAATAGAAAGATCTGCAAACAGAAGTAGCATGACTGTGGCAAGAGAAAGCAACATTACTACCCATAGTAATAGGCACCTTGGGTGTACTCTCAACACATTGGAGCACCATTTCAACATCATTGAATTTGACAGAATCACCATTAGTCAATTGCAAAAGATATCTGTACTTTGAACATCTTACATGCTGCAACAATACCTTTAACCACCATGAAACAATCATATCTGTCTATTCCAGGTCCTTGGAAAGAACTTGATAGGTAGAGAAAACTACCAAATCCAGTCTAAATATCTGACTGACTGTACCATCATCATAATAGAAATGCATGATGTATCCATTCCTTAATCCTAACAGTATAAACAAAATTTTGCACCATACTCCAAAGAATCAAACGGTAAGACTAGGGTACTTTTGGAGCCCAATCTCTGAGGGTGCCATTCTGAGTACCCTTTTCTTTGACAATAGCATTTGTGGCTAAGGTCTAGTCTCGGTGCATATTTATATACTCCATATAAATAGCTTTAGTCTTGTTATTGCACAATAACAAGATTAAAGTTATTCATATGGAGTATACAAATCAGGGATGAAA